CATTATTATCAGTCATCATTATCACCATCATTATCTTATCATCACCACCACCATCATTATCATTCATCATCATTATCACCATCATCATCATTATTAGTCACCACCATCATTATTAGTCATCATCATTATCATCATCATCATCTTATCATCACCACCATCATCATCTCACCATCATCATCACCATCATTATTAGTCATCATCACCATTATTAATCTTCATCATCATCATTATCACCATCATCAGTCATCATCATCACCATCATCATAATCATTATTTTGTTCTAAATAGGCTCACAGTGGGATTTCATGCGACTCATTCTTGACCTGTCTATGAAAGTCATGGCTCCAAAAGGAAGATACTTCACACAGGTTAGTGAAACTTTCCACTGTCCCCTCCCCCCTCATATGCCTGAATAATGCTTCCTTGTCACCAATCTCCCCCTTCCCCCAGCACCCTGTCTGGCATAGGCCATTCCAAAGTTAAAAATTCAATCAAGTTAGGACATTTTTTATGGATGATGAAATAGATGCCATCTTAGAAATTTTTCCAATAAATCAACCCCATGATGCACTCAAATGCTAACTTAACCCAGTTTTTCCTTAACCTACGAATGGCTAGTACTGTTTTCAAGGCCAGGAATCAAGGAAATAGGAGTTTATTCACCTCATCTCCTAGGTCTTGGGGTTGATTCCTGAACTTAAAAATGTGTGTGCAAAGTTTGTTAAGTCAAAGTTTGATAGGCCATCAAATAGACTGTTATCTCAAGGTTGTGTGTGCATCCAACTTGACGGGCCACAAAATTRAAAAAYGCAAATTCAGTAAAATTGAGAAGCCAGTTTTATATTTAAAAAGGAGAATAATCAATTTTATGAATTCTTATTGACAAAAAATTCATAGAAATGTATGATAATTCCTATTATGACCTCATGTTCTGGCATCGTGGCCTGCCTGTCAAGTTCCTTAAATTTGGATGTGTATGCAACCTCGAGTTTTCCTGCATCTCTTAAACCTAACATGCAAAATTCCAATTTGATCTGTGAGATAGCCATGCCCTGACTTAGATCAACCCACAGGTTGACTTAGGATATTGACTAAGATTTGAAGTTTTCTATTTCCAACACAGGGAAATTCCTTCATGATGAGCGATGCTTTAAAGATGTATGAAGAACAGTTGGGAAAACTATCATGTSCTGTTGAATTTTGCAAAGAATCTGTTCATGTACCTTCTTACGTAGAACTGTATCCTTGATTACATATATAGATAATGCTCTCTGATTTGTTTAAGATTACTATTTAGAATCTATTTAGAACATACTCTGATTGGTTAAATTTGATTAATCTCTAGAATATTCTTGCTTCATTGGTTACAGATTACTAAAACCTCTATAGGACATGCTCACTCATTGGTTACAGATTACTAAGACCTCTATAGAACATGCTCACTTATTGGTTACAGATTACCATATAAAACTGTGTTCTCCAAGCACATGTTATGCCATAGCCGCCATGTTGGTTGATGATAACAAAGCATTGCTCTTTAGCTTCTCTTGCTAAATGAACCAAGATGGCGGCTGTTTCATTAATTAGATTTTGAAGGATTTTGAGTCATGTTGTTGAAACCCAAGAATAGGACATGTCCTCTAACTAGTTACATATTCCTTCAGAGAAACTCTGTAGGATATGGTCTCTTGCCTAGGTAAATCTAATAGTATCTTGAATATTTTTCCTTAATGGTTTCCAGCTGGGTGTTTTATGAAATTTGGAAGAAGGATCAAGCTTGAATTAGGAATAGGCCTTTTGATACAACAGGTGACGTAACCCTACCCCCTTCAAAGGAGAAATTGTGTCAAAATGAACATCAGGAATGAACAGACCACCTCCATATTAGTAAGAAGGCAAAGTTTCAGCTCATAATGTTGACTTTAGGAGAAAAGGCTTTTTTTTTTTTGATTTTGTATTTAACACCATTTCTCCTATACTCAACGTTAAGAGCCTAAACTTTGCCTTCATACTAATATAAAGGTGCTCATTCCATTTCCGATGTTCACTTTGACACATTTGTTTTATTTTTAAGGGGGCAGGGTCACGGTCACGTGACCAATTGTTGCAARGGTCTTTWGCATGGYATTAGCATCTTCTCTAAGTAACTTACTTTTGTTTTGAATTAAAATGTGGTAAATACATTTAACTAAATCAACTTATATAGTTAATTCCACTCTACTCCATTTCATTCCCTTCCATTATACTCCACTCTTGCATGATGGTCGAAAACGTAAACTGTGCTCATTTGCTTCAGACCATCGTAGTGTCTCAGGTAGGAGATTACAGAGCTCCAGCTGCATCCAAGTCGTAATTTCGGGAAAAAACTAGACTTTGTACGGTGCTTTGTCTTTTTGATGTTGATGTGTGTGGCAGCACAAATACAGAGAAACTAGAAGAGGTCGACCGGAATTTTTCAAAAGGACATTCTTCACTATTTAGTCCATTCAAATCCTAAATTAAATGATTTCGACTAAGGAACTTTCGGTAGAAGAAAAACTAAGTGAAACGTAGACAATCACTTTATAAACTTCCCACTTTCAAGCGAAGAAACAATAGATATTTTGTTTAGTTTTACTTCAAACTTCACTTATCAGTAGTAGAAGGCCTATCCTTTCCATGTCCTTGCAACAAGCTCTTAATTTTTAATGTCGAAGAAATAGAGACGCTTTTTCTTCAGCAATAGGAATTTTGGAAAATGCTTCAAACTCATTTTTTTGCGCGACATTCGCCTAAAAAAGTAAAAAAAACAGGGAATCTGATTGGACGATGCATGTGACGTGCACCGTGTCGCACACCACCTGACTCTTTCTTTAACTTCAATCCTTTCAATTTCACCTCATCCTCTTCCACTCGACTTTACTCGCCTCATATCTGGCGCCCGTCGTTAACCATTTCAGTAGAAAACGCCGCGATAATCCGCTATAAATTTAGACGGCGGTCATCGGTGTACGAGTGAGAAACAATACGACAACTTCGTAGCCGCACGGTAATTTACCGTAGCCGTAATTACGCGTTGTGATTGGTTGAATTACTTGAAGACTATATGGTACAGTATAGGTATGTTCTATAAGTCTTTCCCACTCATACGATAATTATTCTCATGGGAAGCCATTTCAATGTCACTGATAGCATTTCGTACAACCATAGTAGTTAATTGGAATGTCTGGGAAACCTATTGTTGTATGTTTTTGTTCGTCTTTATCGTTATATATGATGTTGACCATGCACAGTGAAGGAAAAGTTGCTCCATTTTTTCACAGTATTAGGGAACATAAAAGTTTTTTTCCCTAAAAAATCGTTCTAAAATATGTATTATTTGTTAATCAATCCTTTTTGATAATATTAATTGTTTATTGAAAATGAAATTGCCCTTTTTAATGCTTTCTTTATCATCTAGTAACTTTTAACTGTATCTGCGCGGAAATATTAATTCGCATGGATTTTGGTCTTGGAATGAAAGTTTTCACTTTCAAAATGTTCATACATGAAAAACATTTAGGGGGGATCGGAAAAACGTTTACCAGTAAAATGGAAGGGGGGGGGGGGGGTTCAAATTTTTTTTTTCAGATAATTGGGGGGGATGCAAAATTTTTAGAAGAAGCTACGAGAGATTGCCCGGGGGGATAGTTATTCTTTGGGAGACTTCAAGGGGGGTCTTAAGAATTTTTTTGTCATTTAAAGATTTCACCTGCTCCCCTCTACCATACATTATGAACGCAGCCTTAGGAAATGAGTATTTTCAGCCATACTTGCTTTGGTTCATTGTGCACGGTCAGTAACACGTGATGGTACGATTATTCAACATCAAAGGTACAAGCGTAAACTCTGACATGTAAGAAAATTGCTCAATTTTTTCTCTTCTCTTATGAAATTTGCTCCGAGCGAGTGTAAACCAATAGCAATAGGTGGGGGTTAATATATGGGGTCAGTCTAGGCTGGGGAAAGTCGTCTAGGCTGATGAAATACGTGCTGGCCGAAGGAGGAATTAAAAATTCCACCTGGGTAATTTACTAGTCTCGCATGCCATTATGGCGTGATTGAGGTGCGGAGGGTCTAGTTCACGAGAAGCGGATCTATTTTCCCTTACTGCTCACCCCAAAAATATCTGAAATTTCATGTGGTTTTTTTTCCTTCCTCAAATCCATTACACATTCCTCCACGAATAATAAAACTACCTATCTCAAACTTCATGGATATTTTAGGCAACCAAATTTGATTAAATTCTGCTCGAAAGGTTCCCCAAAAATTTGAAATTGTATTCAATTGTTCAAAATTTCGTTAAACAAAAACTGATATGATTAATGAATTGCTGTCATTGCAGTTGAACCCGCAATGCGGTATTCCTTTGCTTTAAGAATCTTCCAAGTGGGGCTTTACGGCTGATGCAATGCGGTTGTCACATTTGCATCTGATTTGTATGCACCATTATGTCACGTAAACGCGAGCTACGTGACCGGTTACCGTCGCATCCAAACGCTCACAGAAAAAATAACAAAAAAACACATTGAGCTGTGCTTAAAATCTTTGTCATAACAGAATCACACAATGGCGAAGACTAAAGATTCAAATCTTGATATAAAAGTCCTTGAAGCGTCAGAAATTCGGGACATCTCATCTTCCGAACACCCAGACATCCCAGATGGCGGATGGGGCTGGTGTGTGTGTGCAGGGACGTTTATCGTAAATTTTATCGTATTTGGAATCCATAATTCTTTTGGAGTTGTATATGCTAACCTCTTAGATGAACTTAACATGGGGAAGGCAGAGACTGGTGAGTTTTTAATTCTTAAATTGAATATTGAAATATATAATTTTTATTCAGTCCTCAGTTTGACAACAACGCCGGTAAAATTTGTACAAATTATAAACTAAACTAAGACTTGACGTCGGTCTTGGAGCAAAAAAACTTTGAAATTTCAATTGATGCTAGATTTTACGGGGGGAAATCCGTCTAAAATCTGACATTTATCTGCTATATATAAGATAAGTTATGATGAACGCGACAATAAATCTTAATTGTATCGCTAGTATTTATAGAAGATGCTTATCGTCGAAGATATCAATTTTGAAATTAATTATTTGAATAATACTTGACTTGAACTTTAGTCTATTTTGGGTCTTAAATTTCGTATTTTTAGTTTTAGCTTTTCCTTTCAATCCAAAGAGATTACTTTTCAATACGACTCATCTCTCGAAGTCCGTGCTTTAATTAAAATAATAGTGTTATTACAGAAATTTGGCAGACGAGTTTGTAAAATAGTTTATAGTTAAAATTTTTATTTGACTTCTTAAGGCCTAACTTCAAGGTTAAATTACCACGACTTTAGACGTTCTTTTACTGRTTAACCGTGCCGAATTTAAACAAATACAAAACAACTCGCATATTAGGACATTAGCTTGTTTTGATGCATTTGCATTTTGAGAAGCTTGTTTTGATGCTACGAATATAGATAATATAATCTTAAGAGTTTTTCTATTTATTTTGACAAAGTTGAACGCCTATGTCAAAATAAGGGTTCAATGGACGCGCTTCCGAGGGGCGAAAAGTCTGAAAAAATGGCTTGGCGCCAAAATCTTAGCCGGCGTTCAGCCGGTATAATATAGACCTATCCCGAATTCGCTTGACTGATCACGAAACAATGGTTTCAAGTCGAGGTTGAACTTGATGAATAAAAGAATCAAGTTCAGTCTCGACTTCAAACCATTGTTTCGTGGTCAGTCAAGCGAATTCGGGATAGGTCTATTTCCAAATAATGGATATTTTTAAAGCGCCAAAGCCATCATTCTATTTGGTCAAAATTATATGGCCTTTAGTCGTGCTTCGTGACCTTTTTTATGATTCTCAAAGCCTTTCGACGAGAAAAGGTTAACTATACCTGCATAAAATTTTTCAAAGCTCACACGTTAATGTTAAAAAATGTACAAAAATGTAGATCAAGGGAGGGGAGGGCCGGGTGGCAGGCGGACCAACGCGACCTCTAAAACTCCTTTTTCCTGTTCCGTCTCTTTACAGCGTGGATCGGAGCGATGGCAATGGGTCTTAACTTCATGTTCGGGCCAGTAACCAGCCTCCTCTGTGACCGTTACAGCTGTCGCGCCGTTGCTTTCGTAGGCGCACTTCTTTCGGTTCTCGGCCTATTCTTGACGTCATTCGTCCAAGAACCAACCAAAATGTACGTAACTTATGAACTTCTATTCGGCGTTGGGTCGAGTTTTTCGTTCGTATCTTCGATTGTAGTGCTTGGGGATTATTTTCACGATCGTTTGGCTTTTGTTAACGGTCTGGCCACGTCTGGGAGTGGTGTTGGATCGTTAGTTACCAGTCCCGTTATGAGCTATCTTCTGTCTACGACTGGGTGGAAGAATTCAATGAGGATACTGAGTGCTTTTGCTGTGTTGCTGTGGGTGGCAGCGTTCTTGTATCGACCCAACACGAAAATCGATCGAACTAGAAAACAGAGAGCTAAGCTCTTTGATTTTAAGATATGGAAGAACAAAGCCTATGTGTTGTGGGTGGCAACTGTCGCCATATTTCAGTTTGGGTATCTCATTCCGTTTGTTCATTTGGTGAGTACACGGGTCATTCCCTTGACTATCATTTCTTTCTTTAACTTTGACAGTAATATTTTCCAAACTCCAACCACGTGCGATTCCCTTAAGTATCATTTCTTTCTTTAACTTTGACAGTAATATTTTCCAAACTGAGATCACGTGTCATTTCCTTGAGTATCATTTCTTTCTTTAACTTTGACAGTAATATTTTCCAAACTGAGATCACGTGTCATTTCCTTGAGTATCATTTCTTTGTGGAGGAGAAAATGTTTTTGATACAAAAAACTTTCCAGACCCCAACCTAATAGCATTCAAAATTTTCGGGTACCCCCCTTCAATCGTTTAAAAAATCCTCCCAATCTTCCTTTTGACTTTTCAAGGCCTCCCCTGTTCCACTAAAAAAAATTTGAGGGCCCACCATTTTCTCCTCCACCCCCCCTCCCTCCCCGACTTAAATAATGACTGTGGTCCCTTACATCCACTGTTATTGCAGGTCAAGTACGCAGAGGACCTTGGAGTGTCCAAGTCTAAAGGCGCCTGGCTCATAGGGTTTTTGTCCATCATGTCAACCTTAGGCAGAGTCGTGTTTGGGAAAATATGCGACTTCAAACGAATAAAGCGGCTCAATGTCTACCAGCTTTCCATCTTTGTGATTGGCATAAGCACCATTCTGTGTCCGCTGGCCAAGTCGTACGGTGGGCTCATCGGATATTCTTTGACCTTTGGTTTCTTCGATGGTTGCTTTGTTGGCCAGGTCGCTGTCATTACGGCCGATATTGTGGGACACGAGAATCTGTCTCAAGGAGTTGGGAATCTTTTCGGTTGCCTCGCGATTCCCATGAGTTTTGGACCCCCTGTTGCAGGTAAACACTTGATTATCATTGGATAACTGAATGAATCCGCAACGCACACGCACTCAACCAACTCCCAGTGGCATTTGCGTTGTCTGTACTACTTGTGGTCAGCACCTTTGGCTGGTTGATTGTACGCATGCGCACTTTATTGACTACAGCATTTCGTACACATTTTCAGTTGCGTAGTACTGCATGCAGTGTGTGCGTTCGTTACTTGTGGCCAGTAGCTTATCATGTTGATATTACACATGCGCAGTTGAACGACTGCCGCTGACCACATCCTTGTCTACGTTACTCATGACCAGCGGTTTATACTGCTTTGCTGATTACACATGCGCAGTTGAGCAACCGCAGGTGACCTAAAAATTTCTGTTTTCTGCGTTACTTGTAGTCAGTAAATTTAAATCGGGTTGATATAACGCACGCGCAGATGAGCGACTGCAGCTGACCTTGTCTGTGTCTTAATAGACTGCAGGATTGAGCACGTGTACGTTGATGTTACGAATGAGTCAAGTGACTAATCCCTTGTTCAGTACCGTCTCACGTCGATCAGACAAAAAGAAAACAGGACATTTTCTCGCTCCTGTTTCCCCTTCACCTGTTTTTCAGTATATTTTGCTTTAGGCGGCCATTAAGGCTTAAATCAATAGTAATTTTTCCTTATGTATAACACTGAAATCATGCCTCCAGGACCCACGTACGTTCTTACTTCAAGTGCTTCACTCTTCAAAATCTCTGATAGTTTCTTCCTCAACAGGCTGGTTATACGATGGATTTGGCTCCTACGCAGTCGCCTTCTACGTGTCAGGAAGTGTCGCCATCTTTTCATTCTTCCTCATCTTCGTAGTAGCTTTCCTGCTTCGACACAGGAAATCCAAAACTAAGTTTGAAAGTCGTCGACGAGTTTCGGTAACAGACTCTAGAGAACCGGTGAACAAAGATGGTTTTTCGATTCGCGAAAGCTCAGGATATTCGTCTTCACGAAGTGGGAGTGAAAAATATGATAGTCAACCGCTTCTTCTTAAGAGAGAGCTCGTTAGTCCTAGAGAGGATTACTTATCAGGAACAAAGCTGAGAGATTTGTTTTTTGAACTTGAAAGAGAAACTGTTCTATAAAATATTAGGAATTCATCAAATGCCTCAACTGACTTTTTTTAAAGCTTTTCATAAAACTAGCGGAGGGTTTTGGGAATTGTCTTCAAGTTTGCTTGATTTTATATACAATGGAGTATTTCTATATTTTGCTATTTAAAGAGTTTAGTTATGAGGTTAAGAAGTTAAATTATCTTTCAAAATTGTGTTAAATGTAATAAAAGTTATAATACAAAGATTACTGTCTCCATACAAAACAAGGAACACTAATAAACTATATCTAAGGCAATCTATTAATTCGGTGTTATTGCTGTTGTTGCTGCTGCTCTTAGAAATCTCAATCGCATTTCTAAAGTATAAATTTGCCGAAATATCAGTTTCATCTGTTTTGGACTAATGCGCATGCTCGTAGGTAATTACGTAATACTTTTTCCGCTGTGCCTCTGGTTCGCCGACTCGGAATAAATGTCATGAAGAAATGAACCATCGACTTTCAAGAATGTTAACAAATTTTGTAAGTTTTCCATTTTTAATTTTAAGCCAAGAGAAAAACGAATGCCTTTTTTCATATTTATCCCGTTTTGCTCGCCAGCCTCAGTAATGAAACTGTATTTTACGGCTCTTTAGGCCTCTATACACGTTGGTGAATCTTTTTCGTGTGTAAGTATAAGTGGGGGCGAATTCTCCTAGCTTCGTCCATTTACTAAACACGCGTGCATTGAGTACCAATTATCCCCTCGAGGCTCTAACTTGATTGGAAGGAGGCTTGTCAAAGTTAAGTGGTATAACATCATTCTAGTTGTCAAATTGTGTCCTTCTTTCTCCATTTTCATTTGATTTAGAATGTCATTTGAAGGGTGAAAAAAAACTCAAAATGATACTTTTCGCTTTAATGAAAGGAAAAAGTTTTCGGAATGCTCCGACGGAACCGCGTCCTTTACCATTTCTTATTATTATTCCTATCTTTAAATATTTGCTCCGGGTCACTTTAGTATAATTTAAATTACCACTGTCCAGATTCCGAAATGACTACTATCTTATTGCTATTGAAAAATTATGATTCATTTTGTTATGACTTATACAATGAATACCAAAATTCTTCAAAATAGTCCTGTTTAGCTCGGGCGTAATTTTTACCCATTTCAGACCGTGTCATTCTCTAGAGTATCATTTCTTTGTTTAACGGTTGTGTATGAGAAGACACATGAATATGGATACCACTCAAACACATATTCTTATTCTCAAGACCATGTGCCATTCCCTAGAGTATTATTTCTATGTTTAACGGTTGTGTATGAGAAGACACATGAATATGGATACAACTCAAACAAAGAATCTTATTCTCAAAAGAATAACGTGGTCTGGAATGGGAAAACATTACGGTAAGGAGGTCTATTAGCTTGGTGCTAATTCGGGTTCGGCATGCCTTTTGGACTATTTTTAAATTTGTTGCGTGTTTTTTGCCTTACCTGTACGACGACGAACAATCGGTACAGCGGATTCCGTGTGAAAATACACGCGTAAGCCCCCATTGTTTGCATGTACAGCTGCGTGAATCGCATTCAAGGCTGTGATTGGACGTTTGGAATTTTCGTACTCTTTGATTGGTTCAGAGGGAAGTCATTTAAGAAAAATAACTAATTAAGTTTTCATATAATTAAAATGGCGACTCAGTTCACATTAGGATCGGACATGTCGGAGGATGATTGAAACAAAGTAATATTAGTCACCGATTTTTTTTTTTTTTCTTTGCTAAACGCTGAGGAAATATGGTATTCATCGAGGGAGAAACGCGCGCTATAGAGTAACGTGAGGGATCAAGAAACGCTTCGAAAAGAATCAACAAAAACATCAAAGAAATGCAAAAAAAAAAAACGAAAACAAAAAACCAAATTCACGGCCATCAAATATGACTTTCTTTAACATTTCTAAATTAAATGCATGTAAGTAAGAGTTAGTGATAAAGATTTATGAGACTTTCAATTCATGTGATGAAGTCAAAATGCGTACTATTCGAATTCGTTAGCAGCTGGACCTTTTTTTCTAAATTTGGTGTCAATCATTCCCTTGGTATCAGAATTTTCTAGATTTACATATTTTATACATTTTGGTAGTATCTTGATTTCAAGACAAAGAAAAATGGGGGTCAACGAATTGGTTTCCGATATGTTTTGCCGTAAAGAAGTGAGAAATGACTTTTCTTGATATTTTGCCCATCGAAACATTGTAATGACGTCATCACCATGAACGACCGCGCCCTTTACTCATGCGTAGTAAGGATGCACTCACTTGTTTGACTTGATAGTTGACTTTTGTTGTGTTTTCTTATATTCTAACCCCTTAATTCACCTAAAATATATTAATCCAGCATAACTTACAAGTGTTATTTTGTACTTTCGACTGCCAAACGCTTGTAAATGGGACAATTTCACGAGGGAAAATTCCGGCATTTAAAGAATGTTGTACGAATTTAGGAAGTTTAATGTTCGAGTATTGAGTTGACAACGGGCTATTTTGATAGGCAGAATCAACTGCGCATGCTCTGTTAGGATTAGCATATTATTTACTGAGATAATCCCTCTAAGCGGTTTGAATTGTCATTTTTTGACAAATAAGACATGAATTCTATAAAATTTAAAAAAATGGAATGAATAAATGAATGAATGAATGAATCAGAATGAATGAATGAATGAATGAATGAATATATAAATGAATGAATAAATGAATGGGATGAATAAATGAATTAATCCCATTTATAAGTTTACCACGGCAATCACATGAAAGTAATAACATTGGTTTTCATGACATTCGTGAAATAAAAGTCTATTATAGGAAATTACAATCATCGACCTAAAATAAGTTTAATCAGGATAGAGAGAGTTAGCGATCTTTATTTATACACGAAATTTTTATCCGTCGTTACAACCGGTTGACATAAAAGTCGTGCAGAAAGAAGACCTTGGAAGTTCATAAAAAAATATCTTCTTACTAACAATGTCATTACGATATCAAACAGTGAAAAAATCAAATATCTGTGTTAACTATTTTAACGATTTTCTTGGCCAAATATCCAAACTTTTCTGTACAAAATGGGTTTTTATCTAATGTATTAGTCAATTAAGACTCCTGCCCTTGGACAGATCGCGGAATTAACGCAGCGAGACCGGGGATTTAACGCACTTTAACTGCCATTGTGTGAATGCAGGAAGACACGTGGAATTTAAAGCGTACTTCAACAGTTTTAAACAACAAATCTTTCCCCGGGGGTCGGAGGTGGGGATTTTAATTGACTACTGAATAAGATAATAACGAATACGAGTCCCACGACTAAGTAAAAACTCAGAAAAACTCTAGCAATATGAAACAAATTTTCTCTCCTCTTCGTAAGATGGCGTCTAGTAAATTCGACGTCTACCATTAGGTGACTACGGTACTCAAATATATCGTAGCTCAAGGGTAGTAGTCAAATTAACGACTTTTTCTTATAAAGAAATTAAGCCTGACTGGGAGGTCGCTAACGGTTGTTATAAAATATAAAATGACTCGTAAAACTTGCACACGAATTATTGGCATGTCGTTTGTAAACAATTAAAGTATGTGAGAAATATGTTTTTTTATTATTTTTCCCTCTTTTTTCTTATCAATTTTTGGCTGCAGAAACCCGTTATCATAACTGATTTTCAAAAAAAAAAAAAAATCTCGTTCAGGCGTTAGGTTCAAGAAAAATATTTAATAAACACGCAGAGAAAATTTTCTTATTCTTATAAATTTCTAAAGGAGTCTAGTCGCCGCCTTAGATCGTTTTAAAAGCGCGCGATCTACTTTTGAAAAACATTGGTTTCTTTCACAAGTTTCTCTATCTTCGACTTCTTGACCCGACAACTATAAAGACAAACGCAAAACACTCAAGTCATTTTCGCTTTTTTGAGGTTTGAATCAAATGGACTTGAAATGATATATCTAAGGCCAATTAATAAGACTTGACATTATGTTTAGTCGGATGAAGATAAGAGTATAAAGCAGTACTATTTGTTTCTAGAATAATTTCTTTATATAATATGGCTATTTCATCGAAAGCTGGCTTACGAATTGTTATATTATCTCTCAAAAGAGTCCGTTATATATCCAATACCTTTTTCAAAATAAATGATCACTTTAGCTTAGATTAAGTTCCGGTTTTACCATGACCCTAAACAACGAAAAACAGGTGCTGCTTCTAAATATTCTTAAACGCTTTACGGTATCTGCAGGATTCATTAACTCTTTTGGGAGCTATAAAATAAATAAGTGCTTCCTGTCTTAACTACTTTGAATCCTAAATTATAGCAATAAACTTCCACAACGGCTTGGTTAACCAATAAATAGTTAGGAATTTTGGGTGGAAAAACACTTTTTCGTGGTCGGTGAGCAACAGAACGGCAAACTTGTGTCGTTTCGTTTTGGGGAATAAATAAGGTAAGAGTATCAACCAATTAAACTGGTAAAATCAAATTTAAAAGTCTTGTGTTACTTGAAAAATTTAACTGAATTTTAGCTCTATAACGTTAAAATACTTTGTGAAAAAATCTTGGATGTTAGAAGCCTGCGAAGTGCTCTCAACTCGTTAATTGTCGAGACTACGCCTCGAACTTTAGCGAAAAAGCTCTTTGAGTACAAACTAGTTTCCCTAAAAGGTTAAGTTAAGTTTTCCCTGAAGCAAAATCTGAGAGAGTTAAACGTTATGCGGGTTGCGAAGACATGAGTTTTGGTTTTCAAAATGAAGAAGATTTGCCCAACAAAAAAAAAAAAACGTTTTTTTTGAAAACCCTTTCACTACTAAAGGTTTTTTAAATTATCTTTATCAAGAAAAAATTAATTCAATTATTCAAAATTATCTCAGCTTGAGAGGAGAAAAAATTTTCTTAGCTTTTATAAACCAATCTTTGCTTTAGTAAAATTTTAAAAACAGACCGGCTTTTGACTTATTGTGCGATTGCCGCTCGAGGCGACCTTGAACGTTTTATTAAAAATTAGCGAAACGGCTATTTTCCAAAGCATTTTCTTTTCCTAATATGAAAGAAGTAGTGGGATTACTAAGTACTTGGTACTCATTGGACTATACTCATTTTGAAAGGATATAAATGGGGTAAAATAGGCGGATGAGTTTATTAGGGAAGTTGTAACAAATATAGTTCTACGCGACAATAAAGCACTTCAAAAACACTTTTATCAGGATAGCTAACCAGGCAAGGTAAGAAAACGCCCAAAAATTCTTTTTACAAGAGTTAGGATTTTGCAGAAGAGTAATATGAAATAGAATAAGCGGATCCTGCGAAAAGCAAAAGACTTTCGATTCCGAAGACACGTTCGTGTAAACATACCGAGGAAATTGTCTTTAAAAAAAAAAAATTCTTTGAATTCTTGAAATTTTTCAATGCAACTTTTAAAGTCAATTTCTTTTTCGTAAAAAACACATAAATGGTTTCCATAAAAAATCCATTTAAGGATAACACCTCTTCATATAAAGTTATAAAAAACTATTACAAATCTCGCGTTCTGATTGGTTGGGAGCGCATGCTCTATGAGAGCACACAGCATGTGAGCGCGCTTTTTCATTCGTATCAAAAAACAAAAAAACGGTTATCGTAATTTGTATTTCATAAAAGAAATAAAAAACTTGCTCGTTGTGCTGTGTGCAGTTATAAAGCACTTGGGGATTGGCAGAACACTCGAGAAGTGTCGAGAAGCAATCCGCTGTGCGTCGTGCTTTTCCTAACACTTCTCTCGTGTTCTGCCAAACCCCGCGTGCTTTATGACTGTACACAATTAACACGCGCGCACATTTTCTATTTCTTCAAAAAGAGCCGTTTTTTGAAGAAAAAAAGGTTTTCCTGCCTCCACGAAAATCCGTGCCCTGACTTAGATCAACCAAGAGGTTGTTTCGGGGTTTGACCTGTGAGTTAGCCGTGCCCTGACTTTGGTCAGCCCAGAGGTTGTTTCACGGTTGATCTGCGTGTGGTTTATCAGTGCAAAACGCTTTCATCAATCTCACTTTAAATATATTGGTTCCTTGTTGACTAAATAGGAGGGTAATGAATTTCTTACCGAGTGAAAGGAGGAGGGCTAAAACCATTTTCATTAACCAATCAAAACCCACTACTCGAGCTGTCAATCATATTTCTAGACATTAAATATCACACACGTTTGTTTGATTTTTGTTGCAGATCAACCGTCTAGTTGTCATGGCAACGGCATTCACTATAGTTACTCTGTTGGTATTTTTATCAAGTTTAGAAACAACTGGTAAGGCGATATAAACGTTGAAATAATAAATCATTCCGAAATTTTTATCAAAATTTCACAAGTATGAGTTTCCTGTGGTTAACTTCGTTTCCAGTCTCTTCTGTTTTTCTCAGTTTTCTGAGACACAGGAATCCCATTTCTTATTTCGTTATTTTTTTCGATGTCTTTAGAGTCTAGAAATACTCCTTTTCAAAATGAAAATTCTTTAAGACGAAATCAGCCCAGTGATGAACAATGCGCAGTACGCCGGCCAGACGGTACTTGCCTCAATCAATGGCGAGTGGGAAAGAAAGAAAAAAGCGGATTAGACGTGTTAGAGAAAAGACAAGCCAAATGCGATAGAAGAATGTCAATGAACTGTAGGATGATGGGAAGAAAAAGGTAGGTGATTTGGCGAAACTATCACAACCACTACTACTATACCACTAGCAATACACTATTGCTATTGCTGCTGCTAATATACTACCACCACCACCACAACTACTACCACTACTACTACCACTACCACTGTCAATACTACCACTACCACCACCACTACAAATACCACCACAACCACAACCACAACCACTACCATCACCACCACACTACTACAAATACCACCATCACTACTACTACCACTACCATCACCACTACAAATACCACCATCACTATTACTACCACTACCACCACCACTACAAATACCACCATCACTATTACTACCACTACCATCACCACCACACTACTACAAATACCACCATCACTATTACTACCACTACCATCACCACCATACCACTACAAATACCACCATCACTATTACTATCACTACCATCACCACCACACCACTACAAATACCATCATCACTACTACCACTGCTTTTGCTACTACTACTACTAACAGTTCCACTCCACTATGATAAAACCTCTACCTAAGAACTCTTTAAAAACTATCTTCATCTTAGGATTCTTTTGTCTCAGAGCGCTACACAACATAGACTGTACTCAACCAGAAGGTCGACGTAGCCTCCTCTGCAGAAAAGAATACTACAAACGGCTGTACCCTAGCACACCATGCGACAAGCGATTCGAAAATTGTGAGAAGCTCTACATGTACAAATCAGCTCAGAAAAGCGCAGACTTAGAAACGAAGGAAACCCAGAAATGTGACTTGAAATCCCCCCTCTGCTACTTTCCATACCCTGGGAAACGAAAACCCAAGCAAGACAAGGATTTGGGAAAAAAAGAAAGTCCTGACAAAACTGGGTCGAAATATTCACTGCTGCCCGAAACAAGCCGAGAAGAAGTGGAAGAAGAAGAGGTTGACCACAAGGAAAGCGTTACTGAGACAGAGAATAACCTCTTGGGGGGATTTTTCGTGGGGCGCGAGACGACAAAGCTGCCGTACGAGAAAGAAGAACAGGAAATGGACGGTGTACCTACTATAGAAGAAGATGGCGACGACCCTAAACCTGTTGCTTGTAACCCGAAGAGAGACTATCAATGTCGTTTTAGAATATTTTCTGGCAAAAGAGACCAGGTAAGCTGAAATAATTCATAACGAATTACACTTTTACCCGGTATTTTTAGGTATAATAAGGTGCACTGTTTTAGCGTTTTTTCTACCCAGACAATCGATGAGATTTTTAAAAATTTCAATCACCAAATAACCAACCATTCACTCAACTGACTTCAATCAATTGAAAACCATGTAGTATAAAGGTACGATGCGATTTTTCATGCGACTTTGAAAAGAGTATAGTGAATGCATTTCACCCGTGAAATAAAAATTATTAGTCAACGTGTAATAGTCACTAGAAAAGTGAAAAGTCTCACCGTGCGCGACCAACGTCGCACGGTTGGACACACGGTGTGATCTAGTTTTTGCAACGATGCATAAAAAATTAACAGAACAAGAGAGAAGCGCTATGAAAAGCACGACGCCTACTGGGGCAGCAAAGCAAACAAGTTTTCCTTTACATTTTCTTATGAAAAAATACAAAATGATACAGACGCTTCTTTGAAAACAGATAAAATAGTGAGCCCGCGCGCGTGCTGTGCGCTTTTATAAAGCACGCGAATATGACCAATCAGAAAGCGGGATTCATGACATTAATGAAGCATTCTTCTTTTTTCTTCCAGACCTTCAAAAAAGCAGCAAGCCCAAAGTCCTACAAATAAACTATAGCCAAGCTCCATGAAAAAAAAATCACCGAAGTAAAAGAAATTAGATTAGATTAAGAACATTAGATTTACTTAAGATTTCGATTGCAGATTATATATATTTTTTCGTCTGTATAGACAAAGAGTAAAATGTACTTAAATTAGCTGCAGAAAAAGGAGGGAAAATGGATGTGGAACTTAGTACTTTAGTTCTCGTAGAACCTGCACACACTTAGAAAGACGTTTTTGTTGGGCTTGTGACGTCATGGCCGCCATGTTGGATGACATCAATAAAAGACATCATTCAATATGGCGGGTTTGGACGAATTTCAAAACCTATTTTGGGCCGAGCACGAATGTATCCCGCAGGGAATTCTGGGATACTTCAGAAACCAAGCAAAACCACAATACATCGCGTTTCGTATATCTAGAAGCCCATGCAAGGTAATTTAGTTTTCAATTGTCATAGAGATCTTTTAAACACACTCAAATTGGGTTTCCTGTGGTTACATTATCTTTCCGAGTCTGCGCACTATTTCATTACTACGCAACTAACTACAACTCCCTTTCTCCTTTATTAGAAGCGATAGGCATTAATAATCATTAGGATAATATCTACAAGGCTAATAATTTCTTAAGATATGACAAGCTAAATGAAAATTACTGAATGGAATAAATTGAGAGAATTGAATTTGGATCAATCTCGTTTTTTAAAAGCTTTTTTTATAACATTTTAACTGTTTTTCAAATATTTCACCTCCTTATCCCAAGAAAACCGTTTTCCCTTATTTCTGTTTCTATAGAAATTTTGTTGACTACTGCAAGCCTATTAATTTCAAAAGGTATTTCCTGACATTTCAATGGTTTTTTTATTCATTTTTGCCCACCATCATTGTATTGATTTTGTTTGACCTTTTCTTCCTATAGCATTTCAATGTAGTTATGTTCATTTTCCCTACCAGCATTGCAATGGTTTTCTTTGGAATTTTCTTCCGGCATTTCAATGGCTTTTTTGTCTCCTTTGCCTGACCACATTGCAATGGCATTTTATCATCTTTGACACAATGAACACTTCAATAGCTTCTTGGCGATCTCCTAATTTTAGTGCCTTTTTATCCATTTATTTTACTAACACTTCAACGGCTTCCTGCTTATCGATACCTGATTTTTTAGCATCTTCTGAATATTCTCTAAGCATAATAATGGGTTTTCAGTTGTTCAACTTTGCTCATCTCATCACAGCTCCAGAGAACTGCCTATATTGAAGGCATAATTGTTTAAAATGTCACCATCTTTTCGGGCGTTCCTACTCAAACACTACAATGGCTTTTCCTATCCCATCACTATCAATCAACCTTATTCCTCCAGTGACTGTCAACCACGTCATGAGTCATAAACATTCCTTGTTGCTTGGTAACACCAGCACTTGAATGGCTTGTGTGGCATTGTAAACTTGTCCACATTTAAATGGCTTCACAACGGGCGGTTCCTTCGGCGAAATCTTCGCGCTCACCGTTTGTTCCGGGTTTTTCTCCGAATCGTTTTTACTTCCACTTTCTTGTAACTCTTTCTCAGAATCCTTATCAGTAGTTTCTGATTTCTTCTCGCCTTCTTTCTCCTCGTTATGCCATTCGTACGATTTTAACTTTACATCCGGGAACGGTAAATACCCTCCAGTCTGAGGTATGACGTCAAGGGTGACGTCACATGTTGCCATGAAAACCATCGGCATGGCAACTACACCACTATTCTTACCCGAAATTATCCATAAGTTAGTGTCCACGGCGACTTCGTACAGGAGTTCCCGTTGTTGTTTTCCCGTTGGGGTGGGGGGTGAGGACACTTGGTCCGCTCCATGGGTATTAATGATGGTAATATTTAGTCTACAGAGAGTTCCCTTGTGGAGTTTATTGTCCGATCCTGGAGCTTCTATCCTGGACTGGATCGTAAACAAGGTCTGAATTGTTTAAGAAAGAGGTATTTTAGAAGAAAGATTCTGACATAGAGTCAGTCCTACTTCAAAATGTGTAGATTAGAGATGCGCGCATGCGTATTTGTACGCTAATTTGATCCCACATGGACTAAATCACAACCAGGATATTAAAATCAATGGAATTATATTTTTTCGGAATCTTTTGACTAGAGAATTGATCTGGTACGAAAAAGGGTATAAAGGAAGATTTCCAGATTCTTTATGAGCGATATATTCCTCCAGTAGCTTGAAGGCTTCAGGGGAACGTGTCTTTCGGCACATTTACTCAATTAAGTAAGGCACAATCATCCTTCAACACGGACTCAGGATATTGCAATTTCTGTAAATAGCACTCTGTGTGCGCTACTATTTCAGTTTGAAGACCTCTTTATGGTGCCTTAAGCGTTTAATCCAGTGGATTCCTAATGTTCACATTTTAGCGCGTGATTTAACGCCTTCGCACGGGCGAAGACCAACCTCAGTAACTCGTTTTTTGCATCAAGAGGGAGCGAATATCGGTAAAATTTGCTAGAGATATTGGATTATTTATAAGAAGCCCACCATTTAAAAAAAAACTTTTCTTTTCCCTACGACATTAAGATGATCTTGTAAGTGGTCTAATGTAAAAAGTACAAAAACTATCAGATTATGGTGAACGCGTTCGTTTTCATTTTACTTTTTGTAAAATGACATGAATAATGCGTTATTAAGAGTTGGTGACGTGCGTGACCTGACGTGACGTGCGTGACCTGACGTGCGTGACGTAGCTATGACATTATTAACCATCGATATAAACTTCTTTTTTAAATTAACCTTAAAAATGCAATTAAATCAATAAAGGAAAAACGTAAACGAAATGACAAAAAGGAATGAAGGTTAAAGAAAAAAGAAAAAGAAAAAAAAAAAAACAAAAAAAAAAAAAAAAAAAAAATTAAAAGCAGGTATCAAACAGATGGGGGTGGGGTAGGGTGTAGTCTACGACTCCCAAACTTTCTAAAACTTTGTTGAAACCTCGACGTACCTTGTTTCTGAAATTCAGCTTCAATTGGCAGTCGAGAAGCTGTGGTGAAGAAGATGCTGGATATTGAAATGGAAAAAGGAAAATGAGAGTTTTTCTCTGAAAACCTCAGTTTAGTAAGTAAGCAACATATTCAAAAAGAATGGGGTAGGGGATTGGGGAGGGTGGGCTAAGGAATTGGTAAGGGATAAGGATGGGTGGGTGGGGGATTGATAAGGGAAGGGTAGGGAATTTGGGAGGTGGGTAAGGGGAGAGTGGGGTAGAAGATGAGAAGGTTGGGGTAGGGGATTGTGGGCGGTGTGGTAGAGATTTGGGGAGGGTGGGGAAGGAGATTGAGGATGGTGTGGTAGGGGGTTGGGGA